CTATTGTTGGTATGATGAATATCTATAAGTAATATAGTATCATTCCATTATATATAATCAAGGAATGAATGTGAAGCTCGTTTTGTATATAACATAGGGTAAAGTGTTACAGGTACAAATAAAGGCGATCAAAAACATTTCGATATAACTTAAAATATATTAACTTTATGAATAAAATCAACGATAACACATTGGTTACAAATTAGTAAGACGTTCGTTGACAAACATTGTATGTTTTATCACCTTTGTTATATATAAACATGTATATACAAACATCAAACTGTATTTAATATTGGAGCATATGTCCAGCGTATTGTTTCAAAAAACAAAGATCTTAATGTATACTTAACATAAACGTATCTATGTAATTAAATAAAAAACCTAAATAAATCTGAGAGAGTTTAGTGATAGTAATTAAGGATAATATCAAAAGCTTAACATTCTTTATCTCTAATGATGATATTTCATGTCCCATTACTATTGCGATCAGGTTTTCCAACCACCTCTTCCTGTGTGTCTGTGTATATATATAACAACGTAGATACTGACACCGCGATGTGATGAAAGACTTCTGTCATCAACCACGTAGATTGCACGCGCCTGAATCCTTGCACGGTGTTTAGCCATAGTTCCATACAACAATCAAGCAATGCACGTACTGACACGTGAGATCTCACTAGCACCAGGGTCCGTCAGTGAGCATGATATTACCATCAGATCTGCTTGGAGTAAGCCTTCCCAACTAGCCTCATAGTAAAATAGATATTAATACTATATCTAAAACAAAAGTGCAGTGACAAATATCAGTAGATATATATATATATATATATATACCTAGAACAAATTCTTTGCTTGTTGTCTTGGAAACTACTTTTGTCAGTCTTTACGTAATATGGATGTCAATTCTCGTTCATATTAAAATTAAATAATCTTCTTTATCATTCATGTGAAACGACTTTTATTTGTATTATATTGGTTTGCATGTGTATATCAATGGATGTCTAAAGAAATGTGTTGCCCTTCGCAGTATCTGCTTATTCTTTCGATGCACCGTATAGTGTACATTATCATGCTATCTGGAGTTAACGTGTTTTAACTGGTAAGATTAGCTAATACCATAGACCCAGAACATTTTTTTGAACTGCTTGCAAATCGTTAATAATATTCGTTCTTCAAAACTATTTATCAATCGTCGGAGTACGGTAATTTCATTTTTCTCAATGGGAATTGACCCTGTATCGCTTTTTTTCATTCTCTTGAGAAAGGAAACCAAGTTGATGAACATCGCCTATACAAGCATTATGATGTATTTTCTAAATATACATTAATTATAAAACGCAGGTTTTTTGTTTTTGTTTGGTAGCATACAGGTATTTTGTAAAGACCATTTTTGAAACGAATGAAGATTATTCCATTTCTTCATTCGAACTGTTTCTTTTATGGAACGCAAATGCACGGGTTCAAAATGAATTATTGATATATTTCTTTGGGAGGTTACCCTTTTGTTATTGGAAGGAAAAACATTAATTACATGATTTGTATTATGCAACAGTATACAAAGTGAGAAATTATGTCAATTATGACTGAAACCAATATATCTTAAAAACAGAATTTGTCATTATTCTGATTCAGTTCAACGTCTGATTGCGAACATGATCATACGCCGTATTTGTTTGATTTTGTTAATATTTACACAAGATTCACTAGGTTTCCCATTTTTATAACAAGGTCATCAAACTGATTAATAGAATATTCAGGACTTAGCACTAGCTATATGATGTAACCATCAACCTTGAAACCTTACTAAGCGATGGACAATTGACTTCAGGATCTGGTGTCACACTAGTACACTCAGCAGTAGTTCGCACCTCCCTCGAACCTCTGTCACCTGTTGTCTGTCTTTTGTAACCTCGCCAATACATCTAATGATAAAAGCAGATAAATAGAGCACACATATGTCACAGAGTTCATAAGCTGCAAGGTTAGTCGACATCACTGCCTAAGCATGTACCTAATGGGTTCTTTGCGATGAAACCATCGGGCAAATTAAGTTGCTTCAGACACGTGTTTAAGGACATTCAAAGTTACATAACATTGATCCAACCCAAGACATTAAGTTAAACAGAGTCATGTGTGTGCCTGTGACGAACTATAATGGGATATTAATGAACTATAGGTAATGCATCTATTCCTCTTTCACCCGTGAAATAATAAGTATATTCAAAATGGATCTATACCGTAGACTAAAGTAAACTAAATCAATACGAATTAATTATGTGACGTCATCTTGATATTATATGAAACGAGGTCAACTATTTAAAAAATAAAGCTAAATAGTGCAAAACACTGGCATTATTTGAAGATATGATCTAAATAATAAAACCTGTATTTAGGCCCATGGTACACGAGCCAGACATATTCCAGGTTCCAGGTTTTCCAAGTGCTCTATATATTTTGCCCCGCCCAGCAAGTAATCAAAAGAGCATCAACCCTTTGGAACACTTATCGGTATCCATTTGTCACTAATCATTAGCAAAGGATATTTTTTGTTTGACAGTGTAGTCAGAAAATTGTGTATAAATCAATCAAGGCCGAGCTATTTCTCTTTTTCATAGTAGTGCATCAACGAATAGTCAGTATCTTAGTATGTCTATTCTCGGTGATATACACTTGTCGGACTCGCCTTGTCTACCTATATCTATACATATGGTACACTATAATGCAAATTTTCTTATTAACGAACACGTGTTTTCCGTGTATATGCGCTTAATTTTCTATGCGAATTAATGAGCTTTTCGAATTACTCCTGGAAATAAAACAAGGTGTAGTTTGCTTTTACTTAGAACTGGATTGAATTAGGTTCAATCTTAGCAGATTAGGTTCAAACGAATTCTTGTCTGGGCCAAACTGTTAGAATCAGGACTATACTATTGCACCGTTATGTTCTTAGTTTATAGTAACGATTGTGATAGTACATGATTTTATACTACAAATCATATGCTTACACGTATTAGTCATCACACAACAACGAAACGATATGTGTAGTAACGTCTCCCTAGAGCTCGATGCTTTCTAGATTTAGTTTCATTTAACGATCCATAAAAGATGACAATTCGTTTCATTGCGATATTTATGATTTGTTGTTTGTGCATTTCATGTTTATTTGTTTTTATTTTCACTTGAATTATTAATATATATACATCAGTTACAAGTCCATTTGCCTTAGAGTAGTTCTCATCCACTAAAAGCTTTTGTTTTATTCAAGCGACAACAAACAACAAATAATGTATGTAATTGTTTACTATTTATTGTTTATCTAAATAATTTGATATAGTCCTGTATGAACTTATCGAACTTATAAAAGTACAGACGAGTGATTTTTTATCTACCTCTAATTACAATTTGCTTGAATTATCCATTTTCCCAGATAATAGATTTTATAATCACTGGTAAACTCTCAATAATAAAATTACTTTCATTAGTATAATATATATAAGCACTTTAAGTAAATAAAAAAAAATTGCCTTTGAGACTGAATTTTGATAAACAAACAAAACAAATATGACATTTGCTTTTTCGTTGAGACAGAAAGCATATACGTAACTTAAACATTTAGTTACTATGTGTGGTGGTGAGATCAACATTTGATCTACAATGGAACAATTACATATAGCCTACATCGGTATCCTTTACACATTACTCACTATCAGTTTCGACTTCATCCCCCATCCCATAAACAGGTGGTCGGGTGGCGCAGTGTTAACGCACTCGCCTTCCACCATGCCGGGCGGGGTTTGATTCCCGGAATGGACGTGAAAAGGTATGGGACCACCTTCCCGACTAAGTGGGGTTTCTCATGGTACTCCGGTTTTCTCCAACAGTAAGACCCGTCGCGCTCTTCCATCCGGGCAAAAGAGTGATGAACATAAGTTGGAATAACTTGCTTCACAAGTGTTGTGAAATGAAGTTTATTATTATTATTACAAATAACAATTTATGTTTATTAAGTATTATTAAGTATTAAGTACATTATAATGACCATCCTGAACTACACAATTGTCTTCAACTTTATTACAGATAAAGTAAAATTTAGAGTGCAGAACAAGAATGCCACAAATTATGCCCATATTGATTAATGACTTATTAATAAATCATTATTTTAATATATAAGGGCGTGATGTAAACTCGGAGCATGATAAGGAATGTTATAAAACGTTAAACGTTTAATAAGTACAGAGTAAGATATCACATCGGTGATGAAAACACATCAAAAACATTTCATGAAATTAAAATGACGTGATAATAGACCCCAGACGGTTGATAAGCGAGAACGTTCGAAGAGATCTGATTGTGAGCAGGTTTCTGAATTTCCATTTCAATCCGATAAGATACAATATTTCCTGATAATGGACGTCACGCGTTATCCTATTCATACTAATAAAAACGTCTTTTGACGTCGTAACGTCGTGTAAGAGGAGTTTAATTATATCAGTAATTGTGTCAACTCTCATGTCCACTTGATAAATTTCGAAGCAGATAGACAGATCGTTGGTATAACGGGGTTGCGTACATATCTATGCACATGTTTATAAACAGTTCATCCCTGTATCTCTCAGGACATCCGTCGCTCCATGTATCTCCCAGGACACCCGTTGATCCTTGTATCCCCAAGGACATCCACAAACACATAATAAATAGATATATTCAATATTCTAAGGTTTCTGATAATCCCCGATGAAATCATTCCTTTAAGGAATTATGAGGTAGCAATGACAAGGCCTAAGATGAAAAACATTATAACCATTGCAGGACGATATATACGTTTAGAACAGAAAAAAAGTCATATTCTGTAAATTCGTTTGCAATTTAGGAATTCGCAACAAAAAATGATTTGCTTTATATAGAGATATTCTAATGCATAAATTAGAATAAACATTTTTTATCAGATTTCTGTCATACGTGTATTGATATGTTATGTTTATTATTTGTTATTTTTCCAGGGTATGGTCACGTGGCTCCAAAGACCGACTATGGTAGGATCGTTACAATTGGTTACGCTGTGCTTGGAATACCTCTGACGTTGTTGTGTCTAACAAACATAGGTGACCTTATGGCCACAGGGTTCCGAATGTTATATGCTAAAGTTTGCTGTGGTGTGTGTTGTGTATTGTTCAGTCCGACCAAACGTCGTCTACCAGATCCGGAAAAAGGCATTGAAGAAGATATGGTGGTTCAAGGTGAGGAGAAAACACCAGGAGAAACTATACATGTGCCGACGTCATTGTGTATACTAGTAATGACTGCATATATTTTACTAGGAACACTTCTTTTCTCAATCTGGGAGGGATGGGACGTTATAACCGGAACTTACTTCTCTTTTATTACTCTCAGTACCATTGGTTTTGGTGACGTAGTTCCGGGAACTGCAATGGACCAATGGGCGAATGAACAGAAACTTGTCCTGTGTGCGATGTACCTCGTTTTTGGACTTTCTCTTATTGCTATGTGTTTCAACTTAGTTCAGGAGGACGTGAAAGCTAAATGTCGGTGGCTTGGTGCCAAAATTGGCATTATTTAATATATTTACTTTACAAATCAGTTGTTAGATTACGCTTGGCTAACTAACATCAATGTCGAATGAAGAGTATGAAGGTTTTCTTCGTTTGGTACCATACATTGAAATGGTTGAACAAAAGATAAGAAGGGAAAAGGTACTTGCCATGTAATGTATTATATATGTAGTCACTCTTTGATATTTCAACAATTGCACATTTGTCTGCTGGTATGTGATCAATACAGGAAATGATTTACAAATAATGTTTTTCCACGTGACATAACTCATTATAAAGCAAAACAAAAAGATACAAAACAAAAATGTCATCACAGTTGATCGTCATGTGAAACTAAAGAAACTACGATTGGAAGTTACAATTGTGTAATATCTTAGAAGGGAAAAAATGGAACTTGGTTTTTTCAGGACGTTGAAACGCCTGATGCGTTGTGTGGAATCTTATTCACAGGCAGAAAAAACAGAGGATGACTATTTCAAGCTAATGTGTTGAAATATGCGGTTGCAATTATGGAAACGTATTTTTTGTAACATGAGTTCGTCCGCTTGATATTTCTATATAATCTTAATGCTTTAAGTTCATTTTTAAATGATATCCTGACCTTTACCTATTTGATATCTAATGTAAAGATGCCTGCAAATTTTATAGAAAAGAAAAACTACCAAATGTCCAACACTTTAGAAAATAAAATGGGCGTTGCCTTTGAATTATAAAAATTGAATCTCAAACGAATATAGAATCTCTTGATGAATTACGATTTGACATTGTAAACTTTTCTGAAAATATGTATACTTTTTTTCTGTATTTCAAGTAAGTTTTTTTTCCTTCAGCGCATTAATTACTTTGGGATGGGCTTTAAATGTGTGCATGTCATGCAATCCTTTAATCCTTTAAAGTCTGTAAATATTTGTAAATCTGGCCTACGATATATGTTAGGATGCTGTGAATATTGGTAATTATATAGTTCGTTCAAGTACATGATAACACAACCATCATTTCAGTCCATCGATTTCATGATTACAAGGCGAGCATGTGGCGTAGAGATTAAGTCGTTACGTATGATTCATTAACACATTGAATCATGACCACCTCCCCGGTACATCACTCAGTCACGAGCAATAACACAACGTTATATAAACTAAACTCCAAACTACATCGCTTGTTAAACTGTTTATGTTTTTCATTTCCACTCTTAGGCATGAATGGAAAGAGTATCTTTTTTATTTAATAAATCGTTATGTAGTGTGTACACTCCTCTGCTTTTGGATGAGAGAGAGATAAACAGAGAGAGAGAGAGAGAGAGAGAGAGAGAGAGAGAGAGAGAGAGAGAGAGAGAGAGAGAGAGAGAGAGAGAGAGAGAGAGAGAGAGAGAGAGAGAGAGAGAGAGAGAACAACATATTTCTAATCGTCATCAATATGAATACAACAACTAACTAATTAGAGTCATTCAGATAGAACTACAAAAATGTATGCAGTTTCCTTTTTTTCAAAAAATCTTCAAGAAAATACCAACATGTCATCATAAGTGAAAACATCTAAGCGTTGAGCCGAAGTATATATAATAAATGGAAATACACACCTGAAAAAACTATAAAGATATTCATCAAATTACTTATTGAATTAATATATCACTGTGCATAGTAATATGAATAAAATATATAATATCTTAAGGCACAACGGATTGTGGCACCATTCAATACAAATTTTTAATTAGATACAATACATAACCGAAGATTGAAGGTGTCTACATCTAGTTACTGTAGAATTCCCATTTCTTCTTATCAACATCACGTACAATGTGCATATTCTGAACCGTTTCACTATTCGGATAGATAATACAAATGAAAACTGTGGTACGTCAAAGATGATTTTTGTTTCTTTTTCTTGTTGCTAGATGGAGTGAAATAGTGTGTCTGTTCAGCTAGTGATAAAAAAATATCTGTGTGCATATCAATATTTTTTCGCAATGCTTGCATAGTTTAAGTCAAATATGTGAGTTGTATTCAGTCATAATATACATATTTATATTCAGTTTGAATGATCATCTGTTCCAAGTGTTTGTTTCTTTCCATAAATATTTTTTTCTCAGATTTTTTTAGTTTCTGCCTGTTTGTGCTAATTTCGTCAACATCTAAGAAACCGTTATAAAAATTCAATAGCTTAGTCTTAACATGTATGCATTTAATCCGAACATTAGGTCAATTTCACTCAATAGGCATTAACTGTGGGTTAGAATATATATGTCTTAATAGACTGATAGTCCAGGACGATGGAATCCGTCTTCATAGTACGACAGTCTGTAGCGGAAATAATATATCTTACTGAACAAAAATTAACTGGATAACCAGATTGACTATCCATGGGAGGTGTACTGGATGTGAATAGAAACCCGGGCAATGGAGTGTATGCTAGACTAGCTCAATATTAAACAAGTACACAGACAATGAAAGGAACGGGTATGAAACTGTTCTCATTCAATGGGCAATACATGAGGGTTAGACTATGTTTTGATAAACTGACAGTGTAGACGATTGGGCTTAACATGTTGACAATCCAGAGTAATGTAATATGTGTCCATATATGGCCCATACAAGATATTAAAAATTTGTCCTGAGAATGTGTCATAAATGGTTGATCCGGTGATAAAATTAGACTTTACAGACTGAAAATCCATTGGGTTTAAGAAACAAGTGACAGAATCAGCATGAAAATATTCAAGTAGAAAGAGAGCATAAAGGGGATAACATAGATATTAATAAAAAGTAAGCACTGTCACAAATCTATCCGTTAGTCCTGTATAGGCTATAGGACAGGTCGAAATGAGTCTTTATTAGATAGATAATTTCTAAATTTATTAACTGCCCATTTGATTCGAACAATTGTTTTCAGTTATTGACATATCATTTGTTAAGTGGTTAATTTTATTTATTAATATTTATTACATATATTATTTATATGAGTTAAATTAGGCTTGTGTATAATCAAAATAATAATTCCTGATCATTAGAAAACAACAGTAAAATTACCATGAATGATCCCGGTTCCTATGCCTCCGCGGTAGAACTTCGTTATCAAATTAACGAAGGGACGCAACTCTGTGAATTGTGGTGCAAAACTCTTACATAAGAATGTAACATGGTAAATGTATGTAAAAATGTATGTATGATTAGGTGTTATGAACCTTCTGATAAGCTGAAGGACTACGTGATCAAACGTTAAAATGATAATCATGTGACATCAGTGATAAGACAGTGTCAGAAACACTGCGTTTCATTTTATTTTGTGATGAAATAACAATGGAAGTTCCAATGAAAATCGGCATCTGGGTGAAATAAATCAAATTATGCATTTTCGGTATTAAATTGATTGTGAGATGGCGTAGTTCATGTTTTATAATTATCTTGACGCCTCAAAACGTACCAAAACTTTCTGGGGTAACAGAAAATCACGAGCTCCTCCATATCATCAAAATAATATACATAAGAAGTTTACGCGACCTCAAGAACTGAGAAATTGATAACATGTTTTCATATTACATTTGGACGTTTTGCAAATAGGAAAATCACACACAAATAGCTTTGAAGAAAAAAAAGAAAAAAAATTCATCAGCAGAGTGTTACACCACACGTTTCTGTATGGAAAGTAATCAGCGATAAATTTTGACAAGACTCTGGTTAATAACATTTGTTGAAGTCAGCATGTCTTACTTAAACTGGAGGCAAAGATTAAGTGTATACTTCGAGAATGTCTGCTTAATCTCAAATCGAATGCACTCTTTGTCGAACAAACACGTTATCCAACAAATATAATTGCATTTAGATAAAAGGATATGTTAAGTTCTAGTGTACTTTCATCATGCGATAAAAAAATATTTTTGTTCGCCTATTTTCTTATGCAAAGTTTAGTTATAAACCTCTACAATTATTTTTTGTAAAGAAGGGATGCTTTTAGAACACGTGTGGTTAAAATACCAACGCATTTAATTTGTTTTGACGTTGAACATTGTATTTAACTTGAAAATGAGAAGAATGAAAGATTATGAAATGTATCCTTAGTATCTTGTTCAAATTGTGTAGCACGTGACCATTTCCTGTCATGTGACTATTGATAAATGATCCATGATTTGTACTTTGACAATTGTGATTAATTCGGATTACAAAAACAATTTTCACTTGAAAAGAGCGATATTGAAAAAGAACAAATTCAACTTGAAAGGTGAAAAAGACAGTAATATGTTATATTTAGTAATAACAGACCCCTTTCTCCGCCAGTTTTTGTTCAATATGAGGAACCAATCAATGGTTATAATAGTATTACGTCATTGTATCTGTGACGTCATAAGTTTGTGTGTATTGAATCTTTCAACACAGGCATAAAATAATTTTGGCATTTATTCATTAGAAGACTTCCTACGGGGTATTAAAAAACGATCAAATGTTCATATACCATAAATAAGTTATAAGTGTATGTGTGACGTTCTGGTGCTACACTGTCAATCTCGTTTGACAAACGATCGATGTTGAGTGCAATTGCTTGCACATAGAGTCATACAATATTAAGCATCGATATGGTAATGAAACATTTGCATCGAAGTCAGCCATCATAAAGGTTGGATATGTATTCAATATATACTTGCCAAACAGATTAAAAAGAAAACCCCAATACCTTTTCTATTGCAAACTAAGAATATATATTAACTGTTATTTGTCAATTTTGTAGTTAAAACATATGCGGGCTTATTATGTACTTTGCATTTAGCTACAGTGAAAAAATGTGTTTCTCTGTGGAGGACAATCACACTGCAAATACAGTGTTTGGTGACAAAAAAAATGGTCACAAGGTGTATTGAATATTAAATGAATGGTGAGATCACATTAGCAAGTATATCATTCACCGCTAACTTATGTTTATGTATATATGTACACAAGGTGTTTTTTTTTCTGCAAACAAGAGTGAGCTACCACACAAGGACTTGAAAAGATGTGTATTTCCTGGCAGTTTAGATATA